GTCTGTGAATGTAAGTTATACAAACATAGAACACCCTCTGCGGCTTTAACGTTTTTCTCTCCGCAGCGGCACAGTCAGGAGCCGAAATCTACTTTTTTTGTGAATGGTGGCGGTACTTGTGGATCATGAATGGAAGGAGGCGTATACGTGGTGATCATCGGTTCATGCGGCGGAGTAGGGTGGAGGCTGATAAACGCAGAAGAGATGAGGGTCTCGACGGAAAACGTTACCACCGGCACATCCGCGTTTGCCGCCGTCGCCGCATTATGGGTCCTCCGTCACTCCTGGAGCCACCCGAATCGTTTGGCTAAGGGTGAGGGCAGCGGAGTCATCGGGCGAGCCAGCGAGAGAGGCGGCTAGCTTGCCAGGCTCTGCAGCTAGTTGCTGCTTTGGCAGCCGCGAAAAGGGGCGGAGGCGAGAATTTCCTCGAAGACAGGAAGCAACGGGCAGGCGCTGCGGTCTGTGCGCGAGCCTTGAGCCATCGCCACGCTGTTTCGTAGTTATGTTCAACGCCGTCGCTACTCTCGCGAACACGTCAGGCAAGGAAAGAAGGGACAGCCATGCGCACGCAATCAGCCGTGGTATCTCTCTAAGGGTTTTTTGCTGAAACAGTATATGTAAAGTCTAGAAAAACGTTTTTCAGTCTATGAACAATACAGGTTATGCTGGGAACTCCTGCTCGTATTACATCAAACCGTTTGGATGGCAAATGAACTCAATGACTCGGACAACAATCTGTTCTCTCTTTTTAGGGATGCGGAAAGATGGAGGTAAACTTGAGTACAACCGAGAGTAATTTATTGAGACATATAACAACCATGTGGTCAAAGAGCTAGCCCATACCCACTGAATAAAATGGTCTGGTGATGTTCTCTAGAAATCTGCGCACGTCATTCTAATTAGGTTGCTAAGTAGAGTACAATGCTAAATACCTTTATGAACTCTCCCATCTTGTATAGACGGTAGAAAGGTTGTCAGTCGTAAGCCAGTCACTAAGTTAAATGGAGTCTTTCAACGAAAGTAATCGGCGCTATAAGACAAAAGCACACTCCCTGATCACAGGGGCCCGGTAACGTCCTGTCGAATAAACTTTCTTGACTTCTATGGAAAGTGTCTACGAGATGGTCATAGCTTCTACGGTACTGCATGGAACAGTTACCGTCGAGAGGTTCTGAAAGATGACAAGTGCTCTATATACTACGGAATGCGCATGTCTGTGGCGACCCTCTGGGGTGGCGAAAGGCGTCGGGTGGCTTGCGATGGCTAAGGAGAACTGTTCGCAGGGGGGCTCAAAGCAGATTCTCAGGAATACGGGCTCATCAAGAAGAAAAGGAGGACAGCAGGCAGGCTCCGCTTGTCTGGAGCGTGTTCGACGGCCAAGGCGCCTCAGTGAAGGCGATCCGCTGCATTTGCGGGGGCGGACGCGAAGCGAATGTTCGTATCCGCATGATTTATCCCATCGCCACAACTGCCGACGCTAACCCCCCCCCCCCCCCCCCCCGTACTCTGGGAGGATATTCGGCGAGCTTCGTTCCATTGTCGAAGGAGCTGCGGACGTGCGCGCCCCGTTATCGCTTTCAGTGGTGGTCACGGCGTGACCTGCCATGTGAGAGTGGCGGGACTTCCCGCACCCCGGTTTGTGCGTGCGTCTGAGATTACGCGAAAGGGGGTGCGTCAGAATGTCTGTCTTAATTTGCGGCTGCGTGCAGGTGGTCCCTTTAAATGCGTACAAGATGAACTGGAAACAATGGCAGTTGGTACGTCACTCCACCTCATCATGTCATAGGTGAAATCCAAGATTTGTAGATGAGCTCGATGGGGAAACTAGGCATGACATTTGAAGCCACAGTTACCTCGCCCCCCACAGCAACAATAGAGACGAACGAATGTTAACTGTCGTAGCAATGGTCATTACTTGTAAGTGAACTTCGATGACGAAACACCCAATTCATGTAACGGATGTTCAGATTGTGCTCAAAAATTAGTCATCTTTAGTGCGAAACTTTTTAGGCGAACAGTCACCGCACATGAGTGAAGGCCGCTGTCACGTCGTACAGTACATATTGTGAGTTGGTGGTTGATGACTCTGCCCTAGACTTCCTTATTGGAGACAGAAAAAAGCACGAGTCAGTAAAGCATAACTTCGCTTCGAGTCATCACGTTCGTCGTCGACTCAAGCACCGAGATGAGCCAGCTGCTGCGGGGAGCAGTTAGCCGGAGAGAAGGGCAGAGCAAGACTCGAAGAAATCTCGGCGCACACTTGTGGCCACCGACTAGCACAGGCATGTGGCCGCACATGCTGCTCGCATCTGTCCACCCCGGCAATGACACTACCAGCGGCGGCGTCATTTATCGGGGTGGGGGGGCGCCACTGACCTTGAAGTGACGACCTCCTGAGGCGCCTCGCACAAGTCGGGGACTGCCATCGCGATGATTGTGGCATCTCGGCAGGGCTGCGTCGTTTGCGAGGGAGGTAGGGGGTGGGGAAGGGTTGTCGCTGGGCAGCGGATGAATCAATGGAGACGCGTTCAGGCCAACCTCGCCCGCCCCTCACCAAAGACCGACGACACGCCGGAGATGGGAGAGACGGTCTGTGACACCGTCGGTCTTTGGACTGCGGCACAGTGACCCTTATACTGCGTGCGCAGAGCATGCGAGCCGGCAGTGATTGACGCTGTCGTCCTCGCTGCGGGCCTGAATGTTCCCAAGGAGGGAGAGCCCTTCCTTTGTCTCGTCTCGCCGTATTCCTAGTGACATCTCCGCCTCGTTTGTTTCAATGGAGGACGCGCGGGTGTGACGAATTCGATTGCTCTTGCGTTTGATTCACGCGGCGTTAGACCCGTCGCGGGCCTATCGACGGTTCCTCGAAATTGTGATAATGATGATGTTAAAACCTGGGGATTGTATAACAATGATGCAATTAATGTAACTTGAACGGTGTTACTTCTAGAACAAACTGTTCCTTTTGTGTGTTAACCATTACATTTGTTGACTAGCGTATTTCTCTCGGCTGATGAAGTTGTATATTCCTGCAACTAATGGTGAGCTTACGGTAATGATCGTGTTAGAATCGAATGCATCTCTGAGCGCGACTGACTGTCGATTTATTTAACTTCCTTACACTTTTGAATAATAACGACTGCGAAGCAAACAAGACCAGTAACAAATCAGAATAACTTGTCTGACTGCAAAGATACCCAGTTGAAGAGCATTCAAGACCAAGAACGTAAAGCTGATGACCGTCGTTCCACAAGAACTACTGACTCCTTCTACAACATGTGACCCACCCGGTCTACGTGATACATCGTGAAAGTGTTTTGCGACTCTTGAGTCAAATGTCCATAAAGATTCTCTCGCTGTACTCTCGAAGAGGGCGTAGACCATAAGCTGGTCTGTTATACGTCAGAATAAACAAGTATAAAAGCGTTTCCCGTGCGTGGGGTAAATCTGTAGCAGACGGCAAATAAATAGCGGATGAATAAAAAAATAAGTACGAGGGAAAGCGAAAGAAAAAGGAAAGCGTGGGAAATGAAGAGATGGGGCTGCTTCTCATGAAAATGCAACCCGTAAACGGGGCGAAACATGCTGCCTCGTTAATTCAATCGCCGAACCTCTTTTATAAACACCAAGAAAAAACAAGCCATAAAACGGTGATAGAGGGAAAAAAAATAGGGGCAAAAACACCCTGCTACTCTGACCTTGCCACCGCGAGGGGAGCCACAGGGGTGTGTAGCACTTGTTTCCGCCCATAACCTAGCGACCTCGTGTACAGGCAGACTCACGCGCCGTCTCGCTAGACGGATTCCAATCATGCCGTTCAAGTTCAATGTCACATGTTCGTCGCATTTTCCCATTCGCTTCTTTTTTCATGCCAGGCGGTGCCATGTTTATTGCCTCTACATTCATGCGATCCGCCACTTGTTTTGCTTTCCGAGCGTCTGCCATGCAGCAGCGGCTGTCGCTTAGTCCCGGCCAGTAATGCATGCACCGTTCGCATCAGCTGACAGGATTGATAAGCGTGGCTACTGTTGCTGGCACGACTCTCTCACGCGCCCGCCGAAGTGGTGGGGTAAGCAACGCTCTCGTTCGGCGAAAGGGGTCTCCCCTCTATTCCCTTTCGACGTCTCAACCACACGATGGCTCTGCGTGTATAGAGGGGACAGCGGTGGTGGTATGGTGAATGCAGAAGTGGAGTAATATATGCCCCTCTTATCGGTGCGGAATGCGCCCTCCGAAACTCTCTTCGGCTGCCGGTTTTCACCGCGCTGCTGCAACAACGCTCCTGGCGGCTGTTGCGTACGTCGGTGCTGTCGCTATGCTATCGCAACTGCCGCTCTACAGGCCAATGTCGCTGTCTCTCTTTGTGTCATCGTGGAGTGACGGTGGTTTGATACGTCTCAAATAGGTGGCAGAGTTTCTTGCCAATGATCCATTTGGCGCTGTGTCTGCGACTATGTGGGATAGCATACGAACGGAAGCAGAGATTGCCAGGCTATGTTGACATTGAAAAGCCATGCGGTGGTCGGTTGGTCCTAACGTAAAAGTTCGGCAAAGGACTATCGCGTCCGTCTTGTTGAATCCATTCGTTTCATGCCGAAAATTTCCACATTCTTGTGGGTTTTGGAGCTACACAAGAGTAGAGCATGCAAAGTGAAGCCCGAACGGGTAACCGTTTCACAGACCAGTCTGGTCACATGACTGTATTGGTGAATATCTCATCATGGCTGCGAGAGTAGAAAGCGCTGAAAAACTGTACGCAGTCTTTGTCGATAGTCCCCTCTGCAAATGACGAAGCGGAGGTACTGTACGGGCTTCTGGTCGTGAGGAACAAAGGACATGGTCGTAATCTTGTATGACACCAGTACGGGAAAGTGATCGGCCATCCATGACTCATTGATCATGACTTTAGTTGGCTCGGGAAATTTCGGCGATGACCCAACGAACGCCCGTTCAAGAAAGAGAGAGACAAGTACACGCAGGTAGAGCAGGTGCACACTCACCTGTGTAGCAGAGACTGATGAAGGTCTGGGCATGCGTGCGGATGTGGTCTCGGCTGCAGACTGCCTCCTTGGGCAGTTCCAACCTGTGAATCAGGTGGTCGAGGAAGTCGCACGCGATCACACCGCAAACGTCCCACTTGAGGGTCGATACCACCACAAGTTCCCAGTCCTGCGAATACCAATGGAAGAGACTTAGAAAGATACGTTATGATGTGTTCTACAAGTGACGCACAGCCTGTAACGTGTGCCGCATCTTAAGAACACTCAAGCTTTTCAAGAGATGAGTTGGGTGACATTGAAAACAGCCATCAGAGATGTCACCGCGTGTTTTTTTCCAAGGCGGGTCTATGTAAGTGATTGTTCCTCGTGTTTTGTCATCAGAAGGTGGTGTCTGAGTAAAGAGTACAATGCTGTAGCTGCGAAGAGAGAGAAATAGAAGAAAAGGACAACGCAGGAAGGTTAACCTGGTAGGAGTAACCAGTTTGCTACCCTGCATACGGGTGGTGCACTTTCTATACCGAAAGGCAGTCTGCAAGATGGCAAAGTGGTACGTTATGCCTGAACGTCACAGTCAGAGTCAGTATACTGCGTTTATTAAAAAAAGTGTAGATGATGTCAAACTGCAGATGGAGGTCTCAAAGGACAAGACTGCAATGGGACCTCCTGTTCCAACTATACTATGGAAATAGCTCATAAGATTATATGTACATCGAGTACAGTGAAGAATACGCGGTTTGAACTTATCTATAATAAAGAATATGAAGTGTAAAAATAAGCATACATATATTATTGTAGGAGAATGAAGGTAGACATTGGTATAGAGCTCAAATGTCACGAAGTACAACGCATTCATAACATTGTATGAATTCGTCGTTGCTATCCGTGATTGCCGGCGCTGCACCTGAGGTACCGCAAAGGCGTGGTTGCATCCTCGTAGAAAGACACATTCTTTCTTTTTTTCTTCTCTACGCAATGATAAATCCCATCCCATTCGACGCATCGGCGTTGCCGCCGTCAAGGGTCTTTACGAAGAAGCCTGCCTGTCTAAGCAGGACGCTAATCCAACGCGCTACGCGTAAAGAAAGCAACGGCGGATGACAGAACGACGAGGATGCGCGAGATGGTGCCCACGTCACGCGTCTGCTTGTACGCCGTGTGTAGGAGCGTGGGAACGACGTGGGGGCGTGCGAGTCCCGAAGCCGACCGCATGCGGTGGTCTCGAAATATCTCCTCGCGGATAGGCAAGCGCCCGCCACGTCGAACCTAAAGGGCGCGCCGGACTGCGTTACGCACAGACTAGGCGGCACCTGGTGAGGGAACAAAGTGCGAGACAAAAAGGTTCCTTAAGGCAAAAAGAAAAAAAGAAATTGGTGAGTGCTTCCAGAGTGGAGGGGTTAAGTTTAAATGAGGGAATCGAACGCTGGCTTTGTAAGTTTACCATTGCGCTATTCTGTGACCATTCTTTTTTTTTTTTGCATTCACAACAGCGTGGCCCCGGGATGACATTTCTGTAAATGCTTGAGTTAAAGTAGGGAAGTGGTGTTTAAATGCAACCACAATTCGGAGAGGTGCTAGGGAAATAAATGGAGGTATGTTGGGACACCACGAACTGTAGACTGGCGCAAAGACATGGACAGACAGAGCAGTCCAGATAGATAGATAGATAGATAGATAGATAGATAGATAGATAGATAGATAGATAGATAGATAGATAGATAGATAGATAGATAGATAGATAGATAGATAGATAGACGAAAACAAAATTGAATGTCCTTGACCTTATAGGCTACAAGTCCTACACCCACAACCACTAATGGGGAACCATTGTATTTATTGCGTCTAAAATGGCGACCAACTCACGCACGCAAGCACGATAGAGGTGAGTTCTATTAGGCGCACTGTGCCCCAGGTGGCATCTAGTAAATGACGTTTTCGCACGCTTTCTGTGCGTGTGTCCATCAACAGGTTAGTTTGAAGAGTGCAAGTTCAAAGAAATCGATTGGAGGGTAATTTAAAGAGAGGCGCGGGCGAATGCTTTGACCGCTCCGACCAACGCGCCGGGACGTATAAAGACAGGTAATTTTGCGCGCTGCATCCGCGCGGCAAGCAAAGTAGCGTATTTCTTTTGAGAGTGCCTGCCTGGTGATTTGTGTCATTGCATTCGCGAAGCGTCTCGAAGATTACACTGCGGGTTAAGGTATAAAGCGTTAGCGAAGTGTAGTGATTGAAGGCCACTGCTCTCAATCTCATCCAGGGCGAGGCATGCAGGTTGTCAGGCTAAGAAAATATTGCAAAGCTGCTGCGCAATTCGTTCAACTACTCTCTGACTTACTGCTGCATACAGGAGACAAATATATATGAATCAGCTGTACGTCAACTGTTCAGAAAAGACTTGTTTCCCGGACTGATTGAACGCAGGGATGGCGTGAATTTTGACAGGGCTTGCAAGCAATTTGGTGGAATGTAGCGTTTGTTTTTCATAATTTAACACCATTTACGGAGTTCAAATGACTTCAAAAACGTGAGTGTAACCTGATTGACGTGACGTGAACAGGCTAGTTGCACCCGTGTAAAGGTGTTATAGAGCGCCTTTATCTGCAGTGTGTATTTCGGAGATCGATCGAATTTATAAGTATTATCAGCGTCAGTAAGCGACAAGAGAAGCATTCATTTAGTGTACACTACATCTGACCAATTAGAAACAGCCTATACAAACGACAACCACTTGTGAAGTTCAAATGACCAAACCAATTGAGAAGTTTATCGTTTGAGTGAATTACCCAAAAGCATTTCATGACGAATACGTGAACTGACGCAAAGTATTTGTGACTGGATTATTAGCACACTTCCTATCGTAGATACCTCTTGCTCGTATGGAACCGAAAACGTGGTGCCAATGACGATGTCCTGTGCGTTCCATTGCTGCCATATATCGCCAACAAGAGAATCATGAGGCGGCGTACAAGGCCAAATTGGGTGGAGTTGCCGTTTGTGCGGCGCGATGCCATGTCTGCATAAGGCATCTCTTCCTGCGTGAGCCGGCTGGCGCTGACTTTGAGAGGATTGCGCCCCAAGCCGTACATTACCAGCGCCCTCCCCTACCCATGCCTTCAACTGCTTGGACTGCTGCCATGCCACTCCGGAGAAGCTTACTTTTTAACTCTTTCTCGAGGCATCTATTCGCTGCTTTCGCGGTGGATGCATGAATGTTGAAATAAGCCGGAGTGCCAATGCAACGAAAAGGTCGTTTCTCAAGTCTACATTATCCTATGGGTAATGAATTTGAATGTAGGCTATAAGGTTGTACTTCATCTAACATTGTATGATTTCTTTAGACCAGATATTTCTTACAATTAGAGGTCAGAAGCTCTAATAGCTGTTTCTATCACCAATATGTCCTCCTAGTCTGAGGACTGCTGAAATTTATTCTGTTGTGTAGGAACTTTATCTTTGTGGCTATTCATTCATATCGTGGCCTAGATGTTGGAAGTCTAAGAGCCGCGTATTAGTCAGCGGTGTCAACACGCACACGAGTACCCGTGCAAGCATGCGAAACGCATCCTCATTCACAACTGTGTACCGGACGCTCAAGGACACGGATGCCGCAAATATAGCGACACACTCAACGCTGTGTATGTACAAGCGGCACCGTACACGACCATAGCGGTGAACACGATCAGGGTAGTATGACATCCCGGGGAGGTGGGAGGGGGGGAGGCTTGTTTTTTGCAGTTCCCACCGCGAATGCACCGCAGCTTCCAGATACAACGGATAGAGTAGCTCACGAGCGCACAACGTGGTCATCCCGAGCCCACAAACTTCTACGCTTATACCTCTACGTATCTTGCGTCAGCCGGACCGTGTCCGATGAATACGACGGAAGTTCCCCAGCCTCTCACTGGCGCGTTCCCACAGGCGTCGATTGGAATGCATCCCGAGGACGTCTGTGGTTTCGCGTTCGACACCGAGCCGATGCTCTTTTTGACGCCGCGTCAGACCCTCCGGTGCCGCCGGCGCCATGGGAACGAGCGGCGGGAGAACTGTACACTGCACATCTACCTTGATACGTCACCGACAACATCCGCGCGGTGCTTTGGCGGTTCTTAGGTTCGTTGACCAATATCAGCTGCGAGAACATAGACAAGAAGTAGTTTAACCGTCACGTGCGCACTGGTGATTTGTCCTTCACGCAGTGGACAAGCAGCTGTCAACCCGGACGGCCGTAAGTATGTCCAGCTATTACACTTGGTTTGGTTACTGACTCACAGTCGGTAATACTGCACAGATTTAGTGCGACGGTAGCCCGAGGATCAATTGCACGGAAAATTCGCTATGCGCTCAAGTTCGGTGCAGTGGGCGACGTTCCTATACGGTGTCGAAACGGACGCGGGGAGAGTCACTCTATCGCTGTCTGCCACTTGACACATGCGTGCACATTGTCGTGGGAGTGGGCCAATAAAAATGCGCATCCTGCTGTCTCCCGTGTGGTTTAGTGTAGGTATGTTACAGGAAGGGATGTGCGGTTTCGTGTATGGTTTCAGACCGGCTGGGGCATAGCTGACAACAGTCGTCGTCATATTTATTGCTATTTCTGCCATGCAGCTTGGCACTGCATTTCCGCCTCCCTACGCGGTACGCAGAACACGCAGGGCACTGGCTGCCAGTGGGAACGTGCCACGCGCGCAGGGGACCGGATTTCTTTTCTCCTCTACTAAAATTGATGAACAACGGCCCGCAGCTACCTTTTCTTTTTTCTTGTTAGTGTGGGCGTGTTCGGTAGAGGTGCTGCATATCTTCTCATATCATCCCAAGAACGTGATAGGCAAGAACGCAGCAGAGACGCTCGCATGACACCCAGATACACGCCGCATTCCAGCCTCGCTAAGGAGCTTCTGCCTGTCCCACCCAGGACCGTACGCACAAAGAACTTCCGTACTGCAAATGACATCGCCATTCCCGAAATGTAGCTCTGTAGAACACCAGGCGTACATTCCGAGCTACCGAATAGGGCGGGCGGGCGGAAGCAACCATTATGCGACAGTATGCGAAGGGACTTTGTCCGTGCTCATGCTATTCTATGCCTTCCATTCATACAGGACCACAACGTCTTCTTAATACTGCTTGGTCTCCGACACCCAGATGCGAGAGGTGCAGGGGTGAGACGCCCAC